GCTCCAAGCCGTTTGTGATCTATACAGATCATGCGTCACTACGCACTGCGACCCAGTCACCTCACCTCTCGCAGAGGATGGCCAGGTGGCTCTCTTTCTTCGCAAAATATAACTTCGAGGTGAGGTAAAAGCCAGGAATGCAGAATGCTTTGGCTGATGCATTGTTACGCAGACCGGATTATAAGCTTGCTCATGTCACGACGGTGACGTCGTCCGTGACGGATTCGATCCACTCCGCGTACGCGGGTGATGATGTGTGCGTGCCACTGCTATAAGCTCTAGAGAGCAAAAAATTTATAATTTGGACATGAAGTTGTCGTCACGACTACGTGCACGGTTGGCCCCGATATTTATTGAATAATGAGATGCTGTATTGTAGCATCGATTCGACGGATACGCCACGAATGTAACTCCTCACGATGTGGATATTAAAAATTGTATTCTCTTTGAGGCCCACGACACCCCCACTCAGTGGTTATCTTGGTCGTGAAAAGACCTATAGATTTGTGAGTTGCCACTACTGGTGGCCTGAGCTGTTCAAATGGACGAGCACCTCTGCGGGTACGTATGTGCCGTGTCAGAAGGTGAAACCCTCTCCAAATGCGGCGGCGCCATTGAGCAGTGTGCCGGTTCCCTTCGGGTGTTGGCAGTCCATGAGTTTGGACTTTGTGTTTGGCCTGCTGAAGGACTCAGGTATCCGGGTGCCGCGGTCTTCGTCGACCGTTTAAGTAAGATGGCTCATCTTGTGGCTATTCCGGACACCATCGACGGTTTTAGTACAGCGCCGCTGTTTGTGGGTCGTGTCTTTCGACAACATGGACTCCCGGAGTCAATTCTCTCTGACAGAAACCCACGCTTCACAGTGAAGTTTTGGTCGACAATGTCCAAGGTGCTGGGGACCAAACTAAATATGTCAGCAGCGGACCATCCGCAGACCGATGGTCAAACTGAGCGCCTGAATTGCGTCGTTGAGGACTTTTTCACGACGTCTACCCTGAGTCTCCGAGGCGCTGAAGCGTCATGCTGCCACTCGTAGAGTTCGCTCTGAACAATGCATTGCGTGCGTCTACTAGCTACACGCCGTTCTACGTGAATGGGCTCGTTCATCCTCGCGTACCGCTGACACCGCTAATCCTTGGTTCAGGACTTGATGTGGGAGGAATAGCCAAGCGGCTAGCTGTTGCCAGCCCTCTTACTGTTCGTAAGGAAGTCGATGACATCCTGTCTACCAGACTAAGTGTCTTACGACACGATTGAGATGCGATGGCTGAAAAGACATGCAGAAGGAATATGCAAACGGAAGAAGCAGAAGAACTTTTGAAGACTATGAGGCCGGAGACCTGGTTTTATCAAATGCTTAATCATTCCTATACACGCACTTTCTGATATCTACAAGACGAAGCTCCCCCACAAATATCAGACCTTTCAAGGTTGTGGCCAAGCGAGCCTTGCGTATACGCTAAATCTTCCGAACCGGATGCACACCCACCCTATTTTTTAGTGGGCTTGCTCAAGCCATACTGGGATCCGGCGCAAGTGAGCGCGGAAGCGTTGGCGTCGGAGCGGCGCCCACACGCTTGACCACCCAGAAGCTGAGCCAGTAACTGATTTTGAGCAATAGGTGCAACGATCTCCATCTCCAACAGCGCCAGGGGCTCCACGTTCGCATGAAGCGACGCATTCGTCTACTCAAAGACTTGGAGCCGCTATGACAGAGCGCGATAGTCCTCAACGTGAGACAGCCGCTGCACAACGTGCTAGAAGCTCTAAGCTCACGGGGTCTTCCGCGCAGCGATATAGTTCCCCAGGATAATGCTAAGCGGAGTCCCGATCGCTACTGACCTAACCCTTAAGTGTTCGATGAGCATCGCGAGTCACCGAAAGGTGATCGACCAAGTCCGCCGTCAACACTTCTCGACGCGAGCGGTGGTACGTGGAAGGTCTTGTGGGTCGACTCGCCGCCCGGTCAAACCCAGTATCTTGTGAAGCGGCGGAATTACCCCAACCCTGCGATCTCGTGGTGTCACTTCGGCAACACTGCTTGACATTGTGGACGGTTAAGATTAGATCGGTCGTGACGTACCACGCCGTCGTACGCTTCTCGGTAATAGCCGAGATAGCCGAAGGGCCACAAGCTGAGCTCAAGCTATGACCCTGAGCTTTTGTAGTCACGGACTCATCCGTGTGAGAGACCACAGAGCTCTTGGAAGCGTGATGGATCAACCCATTCGTCGCAGGGCGACAATCCGAAGGAAGTTGGCGACGCGCCTTGAGTTTGACAATTTCAAACTAAAGATGGCGCTTCACGCGCGTGTCTACCTCCTTGTGGTTTAACTGTAATTTGTACAGCGAGGAAAGTTTCTGGTACCGCTGCACCCATCACTCAAAGAGCTTATCGTCATCTACAGCTGCTTTGCCAGGGGCGAGCACCAAAGAAATCGTCCGCATCGCAAGTACAGGAGTGCCTACTCTTTGAGCACGAAGCCGAGCTCGGTACGAATCTTCCGGGATTTCTTTAGGAAAAAGAAGCGAGCTCGAAAAACTTCTTGTTCGTCAAGCTCAGCTTGTGTAGTGGTCGGTCAGTCGTAGACCCTTCCACTCGAGGGTCTACGACTGACCGCGGATGCGCGAGCATGAGAATAGCCCTGTAGACAGCATCCAGCTGCTGCTTATTTTCGTTGTCGAGTTCATTGGTAATGACACCACTGCCCTCGGAAGTCAAGAGTTCAGGAATCGGACACGGCGTTCGCAAGGTCCGAGCAGGGCTCACGTTGCGTCGCTGAGGCACATCACCCTCTTCATCTTCTCTTCCTGGGAAAGTAGTATCTGAATCGTAGTCGACTTTCTCCTAAATCCTTGACGAGGTAATTCATCGCCTGTAGCGAGCGCGGTGTACGGCCGGGAGTAGACATCGCGTCTGTGATCTTGGTTGTGCAACCCTGCCGCTAACAATGCGCTGCGCGGTACTCAGCTACCGAGGGCTTGGGCTGCGCTTCCCTAGCACCCTTGGATGTGCAGTCCGAAGTTGCGCCGCGTGCCGGGGACGAAGAAGGGTTCTGTTTGCGGGCGTTTTCGGGACCAGCGGGGCTGGGTCCTCGACAAATGGCTCATTGAGCAGAGAATTCATGAAAAGATCCTGGTGATAGTGTGATATCTTAGACACGCGAGCTCGCTCGAGGCGACAGTTGAATATGAACTGTAAGTGTACACACTCTTGTTGGGCGAGAGTGTATTGGGTTTCACGTACCGTGGTATGAAGGGTGTGGGTCACACAAGATGGTGTGACCTGGCTAAACTTAAGCAAGAAGTCAGTATGTGGCTGATATAGCAAGTAGTTATACATTCAATCATTTGTACTATATAGATTGGAAAAATATAGATTTAGATATAGGCGGTTTTGCTGCAAATAAAACTGAGAAATACAATTTTCGTTTTAGACAGAAGAGTTAATTAGTCTTGGTTAAGGTTGTGATTACTCTTTTTGTAAGCGGATTGCGATCCACTACACTCGTACTGGATCTAAGTATAGAATGAAGGTCACCGACCTATACCCAGAGCTTCCTCTAACCGAAAAAGCTACTGCAGCCTCGCTGCAGGACATCGTTGTGAATATCACGGCAGTTTGTTGCAATACTTTCCTCTGAGAACAGTAGTAAGAAACTCATGCCGTGGAAAGACAAGCTGATTGAGCACCTTTTCTTTTAGGAACGGGCTAGCCATGTGTTGCCGGTGAGGGTGAAGGTGTATGATCAAGGCTCGAAGAGTCACTACAACCGTTCTGAACGGATAGCACCTCGGCATCCCTATCGAGAATTGTTTTCAGTGTGTCACTTGCGAGTTCCGCAAAGCTCGTTAAGCCAGTACTGGGGTATGGAAGGGGCTCCTACAAGAATAATGGAGAAATGAGTTCTCGTGGGGCTATCACTTTCTCGAATTTTCTTTGAATGACAAAATAAGTGTAAACCCAGTGTGGTTCACATCATAGTCGGACACTGTAATCTTGTGTACGGAGCCCTTAACACATTTTTGGTCCAATTGTAATTTACGAAATCAACACTACATTTTTCTGTGATTTTTCTGTGATTGTGAATGTTTATTGCTCATACGTCCAATGTCAGAATTGGAGTGAACTCAATTTTTTGTACTCAATCACACGCAGCTGAAAGGACTCTCATAATTGGCTTTTGCAAAGAATATTTAAAAGTATTTTGAGCTTCATCACCACAATGTCGGAATATTGCTTGCGCACTAAAACTTATCCGTAATGCTGTCCTAGAAGGTCAATGTCAATAAATAAAATGTACAATTTCAAAGTACAGAGTGCTTAAGAAAGTGTATTCTCATTAATTGGCGACTTTACCCGCAACAACACATATAGCTACTTTGGAAGAGGAGGTGCGTTATACCACCACCGCTTTACCGCCTTAGTTGCGTTTTTAATTGCCTTCTCGTTCTTACCATAACGCTCATATATCTCCAACAATCCATCCTCAAGTCGTTCGGCGATGGACCGCCTGAACAAGTCGTCGCTCTTGAGGTCCTTAAGAAAATATTCGATTAGTTTGACTTCACTGAAACCTTTTGCGTTGAGCTCAAAGAGCTTCATTACGCCCCATCTGTCATGTAAACTGAGCATACGCGACTTTTCATTGGATATGACATAGGATGGCAGCAACTCCCAATCAAATTTGTTATCCTTCGTCACCATGGAATTTTGAAAAGCCTTCAAAGGTCGGCCGCTCGTTTTCGTATCAGGAATCGGCGTGAAAATTTTCCTCCGCTGCTTGTTTGGAGCAGCATTGATCCAATTACGGACCGCTTGAGACGAACGCAAGATCACATCGTATTTCTTACCATCACGCCGATACATCGCATAAAGTCCCGCCTGAAGATATTCGACGACGAAAGCATCGACAGGGTTTTTGCTGCCGGTTTTAGAAAGTAAATATTCGACAAGCTTTTCCTCTGTGATCGCTTTTTGCCGCAGCAGTTCCTCTACTCCATACATGTCCCAACCTTTTCTGTTCGAAGCAGAAGTGGCACAATACGCGAGATAATCCGGTAGCTTTTCCATGATCAATTTCTTGTCTTTACCGACCACAAGAGGCACTAACTTTACAGGATCTGGATCAGTTGATTTCACTTCTTGCGACAATGTAATTGTTGGAGGTATTTTGGGCATTTTTGTCTCTGTCAGCTCGGTCGACTGCCTGAACAACTTTGCCTTTAACCACTTCAACCATTCAAGCACCTTGGTATAGATCCTTTGGAGCTGCGTTCTGAACCTGCTAAATATCTCCGACATCGACCCTCTTTCCTCGCCATTATATTTGTCGTCTTTGTATGTCCTTGTTTGCACCCAGGTCGTCTTTTTGTCATTTGTACCTTGTGCGGGAGGTATATAAGACGGGATGTTCATCCTTCGTAAGTCTGCGAAGTCATTGCGTAACGCAGCCTTGTTTTTGCTTGCAATCGCAACTATGGCACCAAGATAAATCGTGAGCATGAAACGGAGATGCATGATGGGTCTGGAATGTACCAAGCAAATCGAGAAATACGATACTATGATAACCCTTCACACCTAGATTCGGAATTTCTTAACAGCTGTTATCGAGCCAAGATTTAGATGACAGTGAGCCAGAATTTGATGAACTTTCTTTCGATATTGCTCTATGTGTTGGTATGCTCTAGCAGCTCTCGAATTTTCTTTCAATCTAGTACTGCTCTTTGTTGGTACCTTGTTGCAAATCTCCTTGCGTGCGTACGACGTACCTGATTCGCGAATCACCATTGACAAGCCAATACCTCTTTCTTGCAATGTATATTTTTTATATTTTTCAAACCTACACCTACCAGACTCCTACACCGAATTGTTTATAATCGTCGCATTCGATTTTATAGAGTTCCCATGAAACCCGTACTTTGGTAATAATCTTGGGCTATTTGTCTAAGAACGACATACATTGAACATTATAATCCCACGAGATAATCTCAACATGCAAACAAACTTGCGAGTCGATAAAGTTGACCATTCTACTACGTAAAATTCAAGATCATAACCTCTCCATTCTTATAGCACTACACTCCTCTGTCACATCGCTGGATCTTCTTGGGTGATTGGTACAGCAGGTATGGGTGTGAAAGTTCAAGCGGTCCGAAGCTGCAACTCGCTTCTTTTCGGACAGCATCCAGTTTGTTGCGAGATATTAGCATCCTGGTTGCATAACACTGTAAGAATCGAATAATGGAGAATAGTATAAAGCGAAGCTCAGAGCTCGGACGACGTCTACATGCGGCAGCGTAATTTCTCTCTTTATAAACGATCTTCTGTTCCCTTATGCTTATTCTGACACCTACATTTTGCTATTAATTTATGAATTGACGCTTGTCGACGTACATGTGTCGCTCAATTGCTGTCTGGCTAAATTACGGACCTAACGCTAATATCGAATTTCTACCGGTTTTGACAATAAATTGCATCTCCATACAGCAACTATATTTAAGCTCTCTATAATCCCCTCAGGACCCACATCATCCCGCCGTTCGAGCGGCATCAATTCTCGTAAACACAACTAGATTCGGCTCTATGTATGAGGTAACTGCAGCAGCCATGCAGCAAGACATGCATCAGCAAGAACAACGAAATACGTCACTTAACGCTGAAGAAAATAATTCTGAAGCTATGACAACGCTTTGGCCTGACAGCCGATGCTACCTGCGAAATCTGGCATTCGGCCGCGAGTGTCGCAGCATATTTAATCTTGAGCCCAATACTGTCTTCCTTAATCAGAATGCATATGGCGTGGCCCCAAAGCCCGTCATGCAGGCTCAAGCCCACTTTGTCAATAAGATGGAGATGAATCCTGACCGCTTCATGCGCCGTGACGTGCCTGTGATGCTGCGTCAGGCAGCGTCACACCTTGCACGTTTTATAAATGCAGATACAGAAGATCTCGTATTTGTGACTAATGCCACAACAGGAATGAACGCCGTGTTGCAATCGCTAGACCTACAAAATGATGACGAAGTGCTGTGCCTTAATCTCACATGTACATTCTGATTGCAACATGTAGTGATCATTGCAATAACAGGCTTTAACCCAATTTTGTGTGGTATTGTTTCTACAGACTCAGCAGTGCTTAACACGTTGCGTCATCTGTGCTACTGTACGCAAGAATTCGTTGAGCTGAAGGTAGTAGATGTCGTGCTACCTATCGAGAGTTATGATGCGTTGGTTCAGCAAGTAGTGGATGCAATTACATCAAATACACGATTAGCTGTGCTGGATCACATTGCCAGCACCACAGGATTTGTGTTGCCTCTGGAAAAACTTATTCCGATCTTTCATGCGCGTAACATTCCCGTCTTGGTTGATGGTGCTAGCGCACCTGGGCAATTGCCTCTAAATCTTAATGAGCTGGGTGCTGAGTTTTATGTGGGTACGGCCTATAAGTGGTTGTTCAGCTGCAAGTCATGCTCATTTCTGCATGTGAACAAAACGTACCAGAATACTGTACGGCCCGTCGTGACATCCCTGGCTTACGGTCAGGGTTTCTTAGAAGAGTTTGCAATACAAGGCACAAGAGATGAAGCTAACTTTCTCACAATTGTGTCATCGCTAGACTTTTACGAAAGTGTTGGCGTGAATCGCGTCTACGCCCACAATAAGTCGCTTATTGATTGGGCTGGCGAGTATTTGGCTACAACGTGGAAAACGAATGTTTTGCTGCCTGCGTGGCAGCGCGCCCCATTCGTATGTAATGTGCGCATACCGGTGGAGTGGCCAACCAATTTAGACAACAGTCCACTATCCCACGAGGAGGCATTACCGTTATGTGATGCCATTATGGACTTTTTGGACGATCAGTATCACATTGTTGTGCGTGTGGTGCCGTTTCAAAATCAGCTTTATGTGCGCATCAGCGCGCAAATGTACAATGAGCGAAAAGACTACGAGCAGCTGGGTCAGGCCATGCTTGAGGTGACAAGCACTCCTACTTTAGACGACTATCTCGCTCGTTTGCGAATTTAGCAAGCGTCGTATTACAATACAATGTATACATGCAATGTCGGAACAAGAGTGAGATTATTGATGTGAGGCCAAAAAATCACTCTAAAATGTTAGCCAATCAGATTTGTGGGTTCTGAAAAGACAATTTTCTGAAAGTATCAAGGTAGATGTTATTTATGTCTGTGAAAGTCGTGTTTCACTTTTCAGACTGAGTGGTAGATCCGCATACTTAAGTCTCTATGGACAGCTCCATGACGCTTTATACGGATCGGATCGACCAAAGTAACAGTCACAACGTGATAGTTGCAATTAATATTATTATGCGTATTATCGTGCCGTCAAGTCCATGAGAAAGATATTGGTTATTTGATACGACTCCGACCTCATCTGTAGCCGCGCAGTGGGAATCAAATGCTTATTCTAGCGTTTAAATCAAGCTCATGAACGTTATCGTTTGCTCATCGAATGAATGATATCACTTCCACTGCAATAATGTCTCCGAGCATGACGATTGTTTGTACCCCAAAGTGTTAAATGCACCAGCGACGCTAAATCATCTGGTGCTGGGGCTGCTTAGGGCGCATTTGTGTATACGCATTGACCGATGTAATCTTACATGATGTACAGAACGTGGGTATTCGGATGTGGACATCCATATCAAATACCGACAAGGGATATCATAGTGCATGTAACGGGGATACACTTACCCCGGTAACAGGGGTGTGTGTCACACGAGATGGGCATGGTGTCACTGCACCCAAATATGAATACGGTACAGGGCTGGGTAGCCAGTAGTTTACATTTATATATATATAGATTCTACTATATATATTTAGGGAAATCTATGTATTTAAAACTAGGCGGCTTTGCCGCAGATAAATATATATAAAGCCACTTTTGAAGTTAAAACGGAAGAGTTAATTAGCCTTGGGTTAAGGTTGTAATTACTCTTGGAGTAAGCGGATTGCGATCCGCTAAACTCGTACTTGTTCTAAGTATAGAACGAAATATCGGTGACCTAGCTTACGCTTCCTCAACGCGCAAAGCTACGGCAGCCCCGCTGCACTTGGCAGCAATTGTATTCAATCTACACCTGAGTCGTTGCAACTGATCCTCGATGAGGATGAAACAATTCATCTCATTGCACCAGGGCATGCAGGATGGACTAAAAAAACTGATGTCCTTGCTTGGCCCTGAGGGCGTGCAACACCCTGCTGCGTAAGGCCCCGAGGCAATCGGGGCGCGTCTAGAGGCGTTTGCAAATTACGAAAACGCGCTGCTAGAGAATCTGCAGCTCTGCATCATTTGCGTCTATGACGCCACCGTCAGTGACGAATGATATCCCACGCCCTAGGCCGCTTGAGGTGAGCGTTTAGGTCTTCGAGAGGAAGGATGGAGAGAATCTCCTGCTCTGGGTGAGAGAGGTCGAGATGGTCATCACATCCGCCATACTCCAGACCAAGCAACAGCACGAAGCGCTAGCCATTTTAAAGCTCGGTGATCGAGCGCGAGAATTGGCTCTGACGTGCGGCACTTCGGTCGAAGCTGCGGGTCCCTCCTGGGCGGAGCTGAAATTGCAGCATTCACGAGTAATCTCGCCGCCTAATCAGGCATATTGTATGCGATTGCGTTTCCTTTCTGCCCGACAGGTCAACAAGGAATTGGTGGACTTTGTCCAATAGATGCGCACCCTCATTGCCGGGATGGCAGTAGATCCCCTTCCTGAGGCGGTCACAGTGACCGTCTTTCTAGGAGGCCTCCGCACTGGCGTGGTCAGAAAGAAAGTTTTTCGCATGCATCCGTCCTCATTTGAAGAGGCGGTGAATGTGGCATTGAATGCTGAATTAAATTCTAAGTCGGCACGACTTGG